CATATCTCCTGTTCAGCTCCAAGCTGAAAAGGTCCCTTGTTTTAGAAGAAGGAAAGCCAGCATGTTTCTGCAGTGGCCTTTTAGGATGCAGAGTAAGAGGTAAGAGATAGGAAAGTCATTCGAGGGATCTGGCCCCTGTCCAAGCAGGAGGCGTTCTCAACATTGATAAGATCAAGGCAAGAGCACAAGAGGTTTATGTTCTGATTTAAAATTCTTATTTTTACATAGCAGAAAACATCTCTCTGATCAGCCAGGTTATCAGATTGGCCTTGAAATCCTTCCTTCCTTTCTGCTAGCCCCAACAAGATCCTTGAGACACAACTGGTAAGCCCCTGGGTGCCTTCTACCCACCTACTGCTGTTAAGACAAGCTCAGCTCCACTAATCCCATTCAGAGACTGCATGTAGAAGTTTGTCAAGGAAGAACAAAACCAGGGATAAGTGACAGACTTTTAACCTTCATCCCAAGATGGCCTAGAGAATTGAAGACTGTTGATATTACAGATAGACTGGAAGACAGGTCTCTGCATTCAGAGCTGGCCAAGCCTGGTCTAGGGCAGACTTACCCCCCATGAGCACATGGTCACCCAGTCATCCTCCTTCCAGTGCTGAGGAATTGTCTCCATTGCAAAACACACCTCACTACACGAACGCACTCGGGACACCAAAACACCCACAACATGTGTGTGCCCCTCCCCACTCCCAGTGCCTCGCTTCCAGTTACAGACACGACACTGGCTGACACTGTGGGGCACCAGGGACCAGGTCTGTACACTCACACTGCCCAGCTCATGTGCCACCTGCACACAGGCCAACATCTGCCCCAACCTTGCAGTGGCATGCGCTTTGCTACATTTAACTATTATGTACAAATCCATAGTTCATGTATGTGCTGTCACCTCTAATCTATCGCTGCTCACTTGCCCACAGGGGATGATTCTTCTGTTCCATTATCCTTTACTGGGTGGGAACAGAAGGAAGATTTCTTTTTTAATATTATTTGCTCTTCACTGTAGGCTGCCACCTCTCACAGCTGCTATTCCTGAAAACATTTCAAACTGAGCTGCTGCACATTAGAAAAGGCTATCAATCTCTCTTCCATAACTGTTAGGTTCTTGGAGTAGTCACATCACTATCCCATCATCCCACTTAAGAACCACTGAGTGAGTGGAAAGGCTGTAGCTGATCACCACCCCAGCTGGCCCTTGGGAAACTGAAGCACAGGAAACAAGAGCAAGGTGACACCTTAGTGTTAAAACAGCAGCAAAAAACTGCTTAACAGCAGCAGGTCACCTGTTTAGGAAAGACTACCAAGGACCACAAACATTTCCAAAGGCTGTAGCTGTGTTTCCATGCCAGAGGGCAAAGATACTGCCCCTCCATCTCACCTTCCCATGGGAGACTTTTCCAGCAGAAGACAGAGGAAGGAACAGCCGCAATGATGCATGAGAAAACAACACCTTTCACACTGACACGCAACAAAGCACCAAGATGTCAAGGCAACTGCAGTATCAGCCAGGAGGAGGGTTTTTTAAAAGCAGGCATCATATCACAACCACATGGAGACACTGATCTCAGCAAGAACAGGATGAAAATGCTTCACTGATGATATTACCAAGTCACTGTCTTCACTGCCCTCACACAAGATGGAATAAGCAAGATCCTTTCTCCTACAAGTTATTCAGCAGCAGGAAAACTGAAGGGAGAAAGCAAGGATCCTTGCTTCAAATCCCTCGCACAAGCCACTAGATATCCTGCCTGCTCCTCAGATCAGTTCACTCACTGCCTGTTCATCCAGCTGTACACTGTCTGGGTATCTGTGACCATCTCAGTTCAGAAAGAGACTCTTCCTGAGCTGAAACAGGAACACTTGCACATCAGTGCCACAGTGACACAAGCAAAGTGGTTCACATGGTGATGTTTCCTGTTCAGACACACAGACAGCTGCCTGGTTCCTCCTGTGACAGCTCATCAACCCATCAATATGAGATCTGTCTTCATTTCTTCTACCCTCACCACAATGGACAGGTTCCAACAATGAATCTGTGCCACCAGACCCTCAGCAATAGAGAGCCAAGCCTCTCACCTTGCCTCCTGCTATCACTCTTGGCAAAATGCCACATTCAGCAGGGCCTTAGAATAGCCCTTCCAATAGAACCTAGGTACCTAGAGTGCTTTGACTCCGCTATGGACAAGACCCAGAAATCACAGAAGTCTTGATGTTGCTCTAGAGATAGCTGAGTTCAAACCCCCTCCTCTGAGCAGGGTCAGCAGGAGCCTGTTGCCCAGGACTGCATCCTGGCCCACAGTGGCTCTTTCCATGGACAGAGATGCCACAATTTCTCTGGGCAACCTGAATAACTTACATTTCTACTTGTGCCCGTTACCCCTTCTTTGGCTGCTGGGCAACACTGAGAAGGAATACCATGCCAAGCATGTCCTGCTGGCTGGATTGAGGTTTCCCTTTATGTGATGAGAGCACAGCACTGTTTTTCAGAAGTATTGATCTCTCTCAGCTGTTTCCAGAGCGGAGGCACTTCAGCAAAGAGTTCTGCCAGGGATCTGCTGCTTCCTTTCTCAGCTGGGTACACAAAAGTGGGCATTCACAATCCCTTGAAAAATGGAGGCAAAAATGCACCTTTACTTAACAACTCTGCCACCACAACAGACCAGCAAGAGGCTGTGAAGTATCACGTGCTATTATCATGGAAGCCACAAGTGCCTCAGGTGGAGAGGCAATGTCCCAGCTTGGCAAGGCTGGCCAGAGAAGAGTGGATTTTGTGCCATCTGTTAGAAAAGTGTGCTCTCAGTTTCTGCTGCTTATTTTACTGCAAGTTGACATGGGCTCAAGGAGCAAAGGGATAATTCTCCTTTCAGATTCTCCAGGGACACAATAGTAAGCCACAATAATGAGCTTAAGGTGTCAGGAAACCACCTCACTGAGGCATCACTGAAACCCAAGGGACTACAGAACCATCACCAAGCACCGCTGGAAATAGCTGGTGTCCAGGGACAGACACCCAGAAAAAAACCCAATGAAAGAGCACGGGGCAGGCATAAAGGAAGGTGATAAACAAGATGTGCTAAAACATTGCAGCAGGATTAGACAGCTGGCAGGTCTGAAGGACAGGCACAAGCCTGGGGAGAGCTTGCGGGGCACAGAAGGACACAACTACATTGAAAACAATCCAGGCAGAAGCAGATGAAAGAACATAAGAGATCAAGATTAATTATGCAATCAGAAGTACTGGGTCACTGTGGGGTTGCTGGAAGACAGGACTGAAGAGCCCTGACAGAAGGTGCTTGAGAAGTCAGAAAAATACCACCCCCAGCTGTGTACCAGGCTCTAGCCAGCTCTACCTGCTCCTCCTTGTCTCAGACACCGAATTCATTTCCAGAGCAGCGATGGGCAAGGACATCCAACAGCATGCTTATCAACTGCAGCACTGCTGGGTACACAAAGGCAGTGTTCCTATTGCCTGCTGGGCAAGGTAAAAACCTTGAGAGGCTCCTGGTCTGTCATTCATCCCTCTTGCAAGGCTATAAAAGACACTGCAGTGAAAACAGCAGCTTCATCATGAAGACTATTTGTTTTCTTCCCCCTAACCTATTTTTGCCTGTGTATCACAAACATGGAGGATCATGTGGACTGAGGTACACCTGCTTTGGTGACAACATGCAAGGTCACAAATAAACAAAAGAATCTTAGAATATTTTTGGTTGTAGGGGTCCTTCAGGATCATCTAGTTCCAATGCCCCTGCTGTGACAAGGACACCTTCTACTAGACCAAGTTGCTCAGAACCCCATCCATCCTGGCCACAATTCTTCTTTCAGGGATGGGGCAGCCACAACTTCTCTGGGCAACCTGCTCCAGTACATCCATCACCTTCACTGTAAAGAATTTCCTCACAAAATTTAATCTAAATCTACTGTCCTTCAGCTTAGAGTCATTCCCCCTTGTTCTATTGCTACACATCCCTGTGAAAAGTCCCTCTCCAGCTCACTCATAGCCCCCTTTAGCTACTGGAAGGTGGTACAAAGTTGCCTAGGAGCCTTATTTTCTCCAGGCAGAGCAGCCCCTGCTCTGTCAGCCTGTCTTTGTAGGGAAGGTGCTGCAGTCCTCTTAACAACTTCACAGCCCTCCTCTGGCTGTAACTGTTGCTCCAACAGTTACATGTCTCTCTTTGTTTAGGGACTCCAGAGCTGGATGCAGCATGCCAGCTGGGAGTCTCAGGTGGGGTCTCACCAGAGCAGAGCAGAGCAGGAGAATCACCTCCCTCAACCTACTTGTCCCATTTCTCTTTGATTCAGCCCAGGATACATCTCCCACACAACCATACAGCACTGACCAAAAGAAATACAAGGTACCCACAGAGGAAGCAGGGGTTGGCTGATGAGTCCAGGAATGTGCTGCTAAAGACAAAACTCTCAGAGGTGCAGGTAACAAAATCTACAAGGATGAGACTTGAGCATATATGACAGGGATGCAGGCTGCCAAGCATGGAGAGACTCAGGACACTGCAGCTTCATCCCAGCTAAAAAGCCACCCAAGCAATGTAGCTCTTACCTGTCATCACCCAGTCCCATATCCCATCTGGTTCTGCAAACACCAGCACACAATGCAGGTACAGTCCCTTTTCCCCAGCTATCCACCAGACCTCTCACCCCCACCAAACACCACTTGGTGAAGAAGATCCAAGTGACACCCTACCAGACAGCTATGCTGTATGAGCTCACAGCATGGGATGTAGACTTTGACACCAAGGAAGCTTTGAAACCACGGTCTCCAAAATGGAAAAGACAATGTATTATTAGCCTTGTCAGCACCCTAACCTAAACTGCAACTACATTCCATACTCCACACTAGCAACTTTTGTTATGCAGCTGATCAAGCCAAAAGAAATCTCTAGAAATCATCTTCTGGACACAGATGTTCAGTGAGAATCACATTAGGTATATGTGGAAAGATGAAGGAACTGCACCAGAAAAGGGCAACTTACACGAATTTTAATTACTCTAGTCTTCGCTCCACAATTCTTCTTGAGCAGCATCTTCTGAAAGAGAAGTAGAATCCAGGGATTAGTAGAAATAGCATGAATGAACAGAAAGAGGGATATTGTAAGGAGTCCCTTTTAATCAACACTTCATTAAAACAAGATGGATGGATGTTTAAGTGGGATATGAAAGATTAAGAATTACCAAAGGTGGCCAGCAAGTAAATCAACCTAATCTGAGGCTGTCTCACAGCCTGCATAGAGTCCTCTGGCCTAGGTTTTGAAAGAACATACAAGAAATTTCACAAGGAAAAAGATAGAACAACTGCCTGAAAGGAAATATCTTCTTAATTTCCATCAATTAGTGGTTAAATTTCGCCCTGAAGCAGGTGAATTTATCTTCCTTTACAAAGGAAAAAATGGTCTATTTCATGTAAATGTGGATGTTCCCATTATTAAACAGATATTTCATTATGCTTATTTATTTAGAATGAAAAAAAAAAACCCAAGGCAAAAGCACCTGCCTGCAGTTCTAAATCTCTTTGCCATATATTACAAGAGTCATTAAAGTTGTCATAACATGAACCACACAACTTAGCAAAGAGGATATACTTGAACCAGCAATTATTCTGCGAAATTACAGAAATAAACAGATGAGTTGAAGTTCTATCCCAGTTTTGAGGCAGCGTTTTGAAAGCTGGCAAGTAAATAAAATCATTCTTTCCCCTCAAAAAATTGTCACAAAACAACTCCCAAGTGGAAAAACAAGTCTTCAAGAGAAGAGTTCCTTCATTTAAAAAAAATACTTTAACTGCATTTTTCATACTGAAAAACCTGGTGAGGGAGGCACATCAGGAAGAATCTTCTCCATCAGCTTTTGAAAGAAATAAAAAATTTTCCTCACTTCTGTTTTCAACACTTCTGCAGTTGGAAAGCTGTGTGAAGTATGGGAAAACACTCCCCACAATCACATGCTTTTACAAAGCAACTGAAGTGTTTTTCAGATGAAGCTCTTAAAGGCTGCAGAAAGACATCCCACCATTTTACCAATATGAGTGGTAAATAGTGAGACCTTTCTATTTTCTCTTTTTGTTTGTTTGTTATCCTTCTGCTTTCTTTAGCACAAAGCAAGATAAAAAGCAACACAGTACAGGGAGGCTTGGAAACTCAAAAAGCTAAAAAAAATCCAAAACATACAAACAACACCCAAAAAAATTCAGAAGAAAAAGCACCACCCTAAAATTGAAGTCAGTGCTTAGGTGAAAGTATTTATTATTTTTCCAGTAGAAAGTACTGCTGGGAGGTGGGAAGTAGTCCCATTCCTCCACCGCCCTCTGCCACTCTACATCCCATAAGCACGTCTTTGCAGTCCCAATCCACATTACTGCCCAAAACTTGGAGAGGGAGTTAGAGATCCACCCAGCATTTCTAAGCACATCAGCCTCTTTGATCTAAAATCCAGAACTTGGCACACACTCGTCCCACTTTGAAACTTTCACATGAATAGTTTGGGGCTCAAGGATAGTGTATTTTACTATCCAAGCATGCATGGGGGAAGAAAGGAGGTGCTGCAAGGATTTTGAGCTTTTTCTGTTAATCCTTCAGCAGGTGAATCCTACTGCTGTCTCTGTTATTCAACAGTAGCCATGCCTGACTGCTCTGATCCCAGGTTTGACCTGGCAGCACAGCTCCAAGGTTTCTAACCCAAAAGGACCCAACAGTTTTCTGCACAAACCAGTCAGGAGACAAAGGGAACTGCTGAACTGAACTAGCCCAGCCCACAGCTGTCCAACTAAACAAGTAATCCTGGGAATTCATATAAAATATTGCAGGACTCAGCTCCCAGCCAGGTTGCAAGGCACTGTGGTAAGGCTGGTATTTATTGTGAGGTCACTGCCTTTCTTAAGGCCTCCTTCCTTTACAGAAGGAAGGAGACCTTGGTAGGGCTGACAAAACCCAGGGTGCAAGGAAGAGCAAAGTGAGGAGCTGTGAGGTCTTGCCAAGTTTTGGTCTCTCCTTAAGTTGCTCTTCCAGGTGCTGTGAAATGTTGGTTGGTAGGATGAGGAAGAGTAGACTAGATAGCTCAAGCCACAAGCCCACAGGTGGGATAAAATGTGCAAGACAAAGTCAGGTTGAGCAATGAAAATTAGAATAAGTATTAATGATTTTGAGCCTCATCCTTTAGGGGAAGAATGCTGTTGGAGCAGAACACAACCCTGCTGCATCCCATATGACTACAAGCTTTTTGACTTCAAGTGAGACCCTCAGCTTCCCAAGGCTACTGTAAAGCTGAGCTTTATAGTGAGTGGTACTTGGCTGAACACCCAGGATGAAGTGGGGCTGTGACACAAAATTCTACATCACCTCAGTGAGCACAACAGAATCCTCTGCTGAAAGGGGAAAAACAGAGCTCTGCTGGCCAAGGAGCAAGTAAAACACCTTCCAGTACAGTCCAGTGGGATAAAATGCCTAGCATGGTCACATCCACAGGTCCCCCAAGGACTTCATCAGGATGCAACAAAAGACATTATTTCCCAAGTAAAATCAGCAGAGGCAGCAAGATGTTTACCCATCCTGGCCTTACATTAAAATACAGGGAGGACCAACAGAATGTGAATGAAAGAATGAATAAAAGGTTTGAGCTAGCCTGCAGATAGATGGGACAACCAGCCAGACTCTTCCAAGAGAAATTCAAGTGCTGAGCTGTATCCCAAGTCCTGCTCTTCTGGTAGGAAACAGAAGTGCTCTTTTAGTGATGCTGTTGTGATAAGCTTTAATTATACAAGAATCTTACCACTAGTTACGCTACTGATACATTTGCAAAGGTCTCATTGTGCAGCAAGTGTCTTGACACCCTACATAATTTTTGTTCCTCTTGTGTTTCCTCTTTGTTCCTGGCGCTCCTCTTGATGAACTAAGTAGAAAAATAAAAACATGACATCCCCACATCCACAGACTGTTAAACTGGAGCATAAACCTCAGCATATGAAGCATCCTGGAGCTCTCTTATTTCCACTTAGACTGAAAGCAGAGCAAGACCACTTCTGCTGCACTCTCACAGCTTCCAGATCCCACATCATAATAAAATCTGAAACAGAGAGCTGGAGAGAGAGAGCAAGCCAGCCACATGATCCTGCAGCTGAGAATGAATACATGGAAGGCAAGTTATCAAATATTATTCTATTTAATTAAATTGCTTCCACCTCACTTGCAGCCACACTCTTTCTGCACCCAGCACAGTAGAGCCACTCTTTAGAAAAAGTAAGTCAAGCCATCTTTGAATGGTTTTCCATCCCTCAGTCTTCCCTTTTCTTGCCAAACCTGAGCACAGACTTTCGGACAGGGAAGCTAAAATGCAGTGCTGCCTAGCAACAGCCAGGGACTTTCCATGGCAGTCTCTCCTCATCCTCCCTCTGGAGACCTCCACGTCACAAGCCAACCACGAGATGCAGCAACTCATTAACTCCTATTTACACAGACACAAGGCAGAGCTGAAATAACATTTATTTGGCTTGCAGTAGCCTAAAGCAGGAGAAACGGCCTATAAAGAAAGGTGACATATTCAATTTAGTAACCCTGGGATCATTCCTAACTACTACACCAATGTGAAAGTGCAGTTTTATTTCCTCAAGCTATTGTCTGGGAGTTACGACAATGAGCAGAGCAGAGATTTGTCAAAGGTCATGGAGGATTTTAGTAGCAGAGCTGAGAATAAAACCATAGGAGATGGTTTCCAAAACTTTCTTCCACCTGCAGAAAATGAAATGGAAGAAGAGGCAGTGTCCCTATTTCAATTAAAAAGTCCTTCCTGCTGGTCTCTGACAGAACTGCTAGCATCAGAGCTGAAAAATACAGCTTGGAAACACTATTATTTGCATGAAGGGAAGTTTATTTTGCTATCTATTGTGACTTCTACTAAAAGGAGGAAATGGTATGACTAAGGAAATGTTAAAGCCTTTTTGAGGACACAAGAGTTATGCCTCGCTCTAAAAGCAAAGCTAAATTGAAACGCTTCAGGGTTAACCCTCCAGAAAGCAGCAGAATCAGTTCAGCTCAAGAACCCGCCCACCAATCTCACCTCCTGCTCATAACCCAGAGACTCTCTCAGTCCTGAGCCTGGATTCAAATGAGAGTTGCAGGGACTGGAAGAACAGAATCACATATTAACTGAATGAAATGTAATGAACCCCTGATCTGCCACACGTGTGGCTCTGCCGCACATCACTGCCACATCAAAATACCCCCATCAGAGCAGAAATGAGCCACTAGCCCTGCTTCTCTTGGAGCACAGCTCTCAAATCCAGCCTTGCTGCAGGAAATACCTCCAAGTGCTTAAGCAGCAGTGCTCCAAGTCCTCCAACACTGACTTGAGCAGTTCTGAACTAACCCAGAAGGAAATGGTGAATTCCTGCATTTGCTTATGCACAAAAGCCACCACAGAGCTATTCTATACAAACTGCACCACCCAGATGACTGGAATATATATTAACAATCAAAATACAGGCATTCTTAATGCAAGATCACTCTAGGAATACTGATATCCCCAGGATTAATGCATTTATGTCACACTGCTGCAACAGTTCAAAACAGTTCAAAAGTATTTAAAACTCCGTCAACACACAGTTTAAAGACAGGCATCACAACTTAATTTTCAAATGTTTAAGAGTTTGAACAAACTCAAACCAGCATACAATGTAAAATATTTTACAATAACAGATATTAATAAACACTTTTCATCATACATCTGCTTTTTATATACACAATTCTGGTTCTAGAATAGTTTCATTTTCACTACCTCCACAAAACAGAACAACTCTTTTGTCCATTAGTGTTGTGGGGGGCAGGGTGTAAATTGATATTTATTTTATTATCTGGTCACAGTTTTAAACTTAGGCGTCTGTCCAGGGTTGGACACAGTTTAACTGCTACTGGTTTCCTCAGACTAGTTTAGCCTGAGGAAAAACAAGCAAAAGAGCACAGGAACTCTCAGTTTCTCAACATAACCCATCAGCTAATGACACACTTCATCAAATGCTACATACTTATATACAACTTGTTAC